ACTTATGATCGTTCGAGAATTAAAAATTGGACTCTAAAAACAATTCATAACAGAACCTAAGTTCAAAATATTTCTTCAAAAGCCAATATAAGTTTTAAAATTAAGATTATTTTTATTGATTAAAGTTAAATTATTGCTTAAAAATAAGCTAACTTTTATAATATGTTCCTGTAATAACAATCTACATGTTGAAAAATTGCATTTGAGCCATCCCTTCAACATCACAGCCTCTAACGCCAAACAAAACAACAGAAAAGAAGAAAGGAACTGAAGATCAGATTACAAGATGATTGATGATCCCAAGCAGTTTACATTACAACAAGTCAAGTAGCAGGATCGATGGAGTTTGTAACGCCGGAGTCGAAGTCGTCTGTGACTGCAGACTTTTTAAGGAACTCTATACAGTCTGCAACAGCTTCATTATATTGAGGATCATGTACTGTGTAATGAGGCATTTGTGCATCTGTGGAAGATCGACTAACATGTTGGGCTTTTGAGAGAGCAGAAAACATGATCAACCGAAAAACAGCCTCTCGAAAACGATCAAGCAACGACATAGGAGATAACCGATTGCTTTTTCTTGTGTAGCCAATACCTCTGAGCTTGGGCATGCTAAAAGGGCTCCTTCTGCCTCTGGATTCCTCCATTTTTGCACAGGACTGTTGGTTCAATGAGAACTGAGAAGAAGAATCTATGACAAAGCAAAGCACATGAAAGTATAGATAAATGAAATGAAGACTCCCCAAATTATTGCTATGGGAGTTTTTTTATGTCCATAAATTATTTTTTGTACATGGTTGGGACCATGAAACTGAAAACAGAAGATAATTTTTTGTCAAAAAAATTGCTTGAAATGAGGGAATAACTTGGAAGTTAAAACTGAACAAATAAGATCCCTAAATATTTGTTCTTCTTGGAGTCTTGTATTGTGCAAAGACAGCTAAACAAGATGCTTATTTTATATCAATGGTTTGACTTAATTCTTTGGCTCACATGCTCTTCAAAACAAGTATTAGAATGAAACTATTACTGCCAGATGATTCCCCCTTGTATGCTGGATATATAATATGGACATGAACTGTTAATGGTTTAGCAGAATTGCATCGAGTGGCCGCTACTGCATTGTTGAATTACTTGATCTAAAAGCTTAAATTGATAGAAAATTACACACACATACACACACATATATATGATCATTAACAAGCTCCTCACCTGTATACCGTCAAAGTCGAATGGGTACACAATTTTTTTAAATGGGTAGTGGTAAGATTTAACATTTGCTTTCATACAATATTACTAAGTGCTTTTCTAGAAATCAACCGCACAAGTCTATTAATCAATCACCATTGTATTTGTATACACGTAATCTAGTTGAACATCACTACTTACACGACTGAATAGTACAAGAGATAAATACAATATATTACAAAAATTGTGATAATTATAAAAAAAATATATATATATTAA